TATCTCAACCCACAAGTTTTCTCACTTTTACCCTTCCGATTCTCTCCCCCATCCCACCGGGGGGGAGTGAGCGAGCGGCTGGGTGGGGCTTGGTTGCCGGCGGGGGTTAAACCACGACAGGTGTAATGGGCACGTCTGGGCATCTGTCCTTCAGCTGATGCTGGTCTCCTGCTCCCCTGGAAGGGGTCGGTTCCCGCATGGGTTTAGGACGCCGACGCTTTGCGTGGGGGACCCACTGGCAGCAAGCAGAGCTACATGGGTGCAGGACGGCTCTGCAGGGCCGGGAGGGAGAGCCTTGCCCTTGGCCTCTGCCTTTGGAAAGTCCCAGTGTGCGGATGAGCTCCCGGTTTCCGTGCGTGCTGCTCTCCTGGGCCGGCCGCGCTGTATCTGTCCTGTCTAAAGCAGACCTGCTCTTGCAAACCTTCTCCCTCAGGGAAGGTCCCTGTCCCATGAAGGCAGCCCAAGGGTTATGCATTTTTGTAGGGAAAGCATAACTAGACCCAGGGACTCCTCAGCGTCCTCCTGTCCAGCTGCAGTCCCTCCCCTCCTCTCCGCAGCGGGTGCCTTGGCTTAGCTGGACGTTTTCCATCACCTCCAGCCCCCTTTATTATATCTTTAGGGGTTATTAGGACAAAAGGGGATACGAGAGGCTGCAGGGGCAGCACGGTTGGCTGAGAGGACCCTGTGGGCAAGATGACCCTGTGGGCAGGATGACCGCTGGGGCCGTGGGACCCCGCGTCCCTGGACAGGTGGAATCACCGCACACCTTCCCCCCGGCCCCGCTCCCAGCTCCCAGCCTTATCTCCCGCTGCAATTTCCTGGCTGGCGATCCCTCTCCTGACTCAGGGAGCAGAAACACCCCGGAAGAGAGATGGTGCCAGCAGCTCCCAGCGCGGGGACGGTCACGGGGTGCGGCAGAGGGTCCCCCTGCACCCCTGGGATGCCGGCTGCAGGGGGGCAGGCTGCGAGAGGCTCCCGCGAGCAAACAAAAAACCCCTGAATATTTCATAAAGGTCTTTGTTTTCCCCCC